CTCGAGGCGGCCTGGGGGCGTGGCCCGGGCTCGGGGGCGTGGCCTTCGTGGGGCGGTGCGCCCCTCTTGCGGGACTCTGAGCCACGCCTCCCGAGGGGCTGGAGGGAAATTCCCCGGGGGCCCGAGCCTGACACCGCCTCCCTCCGCAGCGCTGGCGCGTCCTTCGCAGCTGCTGCTGGTCCTGTGCCAGGTGACCTCATGCCTCAACCGGCTAGCGGAGGCGAGGAGGCGCCACCCGCCCGCTCCCCCGCTGCAGCCCCGAGACTCATCGCCCATCGCCCTTTCTCGCAGCTGCCATCTACCAACTCTCTCTGGAAGGCGGAGCTCCCTTTTCCAGGACAAGTTTTAGGAAAGTTTTCATCGCCTTAGAAATACCCTTTTTTTTCCCCTTCCTCCGACTCCGGTTTTCCTTTTGACTCTTCAGGCGCTTCTGCGCTGGGAGCCAGCATACTCGCAAATGCTTAGAAGACCCTTACTGTGTCCCGACCTCTGAGCTAGGCCCAGGGCTGTGAACAATAAGACTGGAATCTTCTCCTCCCAGGAGACCACTGCAGTCTTGAAATGCAACCCCCGTGTGTGAAAGCTGTCCTTCTGCCTGTATCTATTCTTCACCTGGGAGGCTTGAGTGTGGTCAGTCACCTGGCTGCTACGCTCCACCGTTCTGTCCCGTTCTCAGATTCTCTGGGCGAAAAGGAATTCCTATTTTAACAAGCACCAGGGCAATTCTGAAGAAGGTGGTCCTCACACAGGAGCAACCCCACTGGGTTTTAAGCCCCTGAAGTTGGGGACTGATGCTTTGAGCCAAGCACATGGTAGGTGCCTGGTCCTGGAGCTGCTGTAGAATGCAGAGACTACTTGTCACCTCCTCTGGAAACTTCCTTGTGCACTCTTCTGACTCTGCTTGACTCACAGCCGCAGCTCCCCAGCAGGGTTGAATAGTGAGGGCCAGGAGGGCTGCACGTGGGAGGTCTGTCACCACATCCCATGACAGCACATAGCCCAACGTTTGAACAAACTGAAAGTGCACAGGAAATTGAGGGAAGCCTGCAAGTTCTTCCTCTACCGAATTTTCTTTTAGGGACTCTGTTAAAGAGACAGGGTCCCCTAGTAATTAGGAACACAGGCTCTGGAGTTGGAATGTCTAAGTTCAAATCCTAACACCACCATGTCCTTATAACCTCCAAGCCCCATTTCATGATCCAGAGGGGTTGCGGCTGTTTACTGGTGCTTGCCTTACTGGTGTCCTCCCAGGTAGAGGTGGCCATTATCTGCGCTGGGACTTACACTGTCCCGACCACCAGGCAGGCTAGAATGGTATATATTCAACTCCCTCTGCGGTCAGCTGGTTTGTCAAAAAATGCCAGGAGGTCGCCCCTTAGATGAGACTTGAACCGAGGCTGGACTCTGAACTGAGCTCAGCCTTCATTTTTCATGGAATCATGACCTGAACCAAAGTTCCCTTCTTCCCCGTTTCTGCCCCACCTGAAAAGAAACCAGAGCAGTGTTCAAAGCAGACCCAAGCCTAAGATCAACCTTACTGCACCTCGAAAGGAGGCCAGACGGATCCCGAGGCAAAGCGGTATTTCAGGGCAGTGCCGAGGTGTACCCGAGGGTTACCAAACGACGTTTGCCAGTATTCCTTCTGGTGCATGTCTGTTGCAAACAGCTAACGTGACGTCACCAGATTACAGAGGTGACCCAGGCCTGGAAGGAGGCACAGACCAGGGGTCTAGAGGCTTCATCCATAAACACAGACCTCAGCTGGGAGGAGCCGGTGCCCTTCTCCACAGAGCCCTGCGGTGGTGTGACCTCCGAGACTGCTCCTGACCCCCGGCAAGCCCCAAGCAGAGCCTCAGACCCAACGTCTGAGCTTAGAAACCCGGCCATGGCCACACCTTAGACTTCCACTTCCACGTGGCTCACGGGGATGGGCGGAGCCAGTCTGGAAGGGGAGAAATGGAGAGACCTTTCTGTGGGGGAGGCGCTACACGCACATTGCGTTTAAATCTCTTCCAACTAGAAAAGCATTCGTTACCTGTGTTTGTTATGATAACACACACTGACATCTCAAAGTTGGGTGGAGACGCCTTGCCCGCACACCCCTCTGATCTCATCTGCTCTCCCCTTTGCTCTGGGCCCAGCCACAGGCCGGGGCCATTCCTTGGATGCCTAAGCACCTGCCGCTCCAGGGCCTTTGCACTTGGCCTCTTCTGTCTCTGGACCCGCCTTCCTGAGAATCTCTACAGCTCCCACTCCCTTACCTTCTTCAGGTCTTTGCTCAAATATCACCTTCTCAAGGAGATTTCCCAATCGCTGATACCTTGTGAAATTCTGGAGGGCAGAAAGGCTTGGGATCTACATCTTTACTTGGGAAAAATATTTTGAGCAAGTTACTCTCTCTGTGCCTCTTTTTTCTCATGTAAAACCATAAGCATAAAACCTTCTTCATAAGATGGTTATGGAGATGGGACCAGCAGTTAGCATAATGGCTATGTCACTGGACTCCCATGTAGTTGACCACGGTTTGAGTCCCGAACCCCGTGGCTTAAACTCACGCCAGGTGTGCGTGTGTGCGTGCCCAAGATCCAGAGAGGTGAATGGAGGAGAAGGGATTGTGGCGTGGCCATCCCACCTGGGGGTGAGTTCTCGGTTTCTGTCTCTCTCTCTCTTTCTGGAGAAAGCACGCGCCCTCTAGCAAAAACCTCTCTAAAAAAAAAAAAGATCGTTATGGAGATTGAACAAGTTAATACATGAAAAGCAAATAACACAGTGCCCACAGAATTTGTCGTTGTTTACGTTCTCCTGTGCCTAATTCAGTGTCTGGCCCATAATAGGAACTCAGCCCGAACAGAGAGCGAACGTATTCCTAAAGTAAATGTCACGCACTGTTTTTCAACCCCCAACTCCCAAGTTTCACATCCTTGCTACTCTCACTGCCCCTCTCACAGAATAGGTGCTCAAGGACTCTAGTAACTTTAGTCCACCCAGCTAGGGAAAACCCTGACTCAGCCATGAACGTCAACTGCGTCCCCACGATGTGAATGACCTCCTCTAAAATCCTGCTACTTGTGACTTAGCCATAATTTTGACTGCAATGTAACCTGAATGTTGTGTTTACGAAAGCCCCAACCTTTCGAGCCACCCAAAGACCTGAGCCTCCCTGGAGGGAGCAAGTCATTCTACAAACACATGCAATGTGACACATTTCAGATCAGCTATTCTAGGCTTTTGGAAGAGAGTTCCAGTGGGTCCAAGGCCTGAGACGCTCTCCCAAGGCATCAGACCCAACAAACGGACCTTCACTGGAAGGAAGACCATCCAGTACCATTTTTAACAACAATATAGTAGAGAAAACTGAGGCTCAGAGAAATTAAGTGGATCCAGCCAGTGGTGTGGTGGTTAAGGCTGCCGGATCCCACATGACCAACTGCATGATTCAGATCCTGGACCGGGTGGCTTGAAAAACACATCAGGTGCATGTGCATGCATGCCCAATATCCTGAGAACAGAATGGAGACGAGGGATTGCAGCCCGGCCAACCCCCGGGAAGTCTCTCTCTCCCTCTCTCGTATCGTGAAGCAAAACAAAACAAAAAAATAAGGTGGTAAGCACGTTGTCTAGGCCACTCCGCTGGCACAGTGGCAAGCCCGCTTTTCTTTGTCTTCGCTGCCCGTGCTCTGGCCAGCTGTCTGCTCATACTGCTGGCCTCAAAGAGTTCTTACGAGTATTACAAAGATGGTATGTGAGGTGGATGGCACAGTGTGAGCGTTCCAAACAAGGGCGTCTGCTGCCCAGCCCCTGGGCAGCTCTGTTTCTCTCCTCGTGGTCCTGCCCCAGAAGGACCGCGTGATGGTCCAGCTCCACCATTTACTAGCTGAGGCAGATCATTTCACCGGAGTTCCTTCTACCAAGGGGGGCCACGTGTCCGTAGAAGTTCAGGGTGGCCGGGGGGCGCG